TTGAACATATCCCTTGATTAGTCAAAAATGGCCTTTGCTGTCCCTTCTAATATTTTTCAGCCTGAAATCTATATTGTCGGATACTAGTATGGCCACCCAGGCTTTTTTGAGGGAGGTGTTTGCTTGCAGGATTGTTTTCCATCCTTTGACTTTGAGTCTGTGTTTGCTCTGACTATTCAGATATGTTTCTTGTAGGTAGCAGAATGTTGGGTTTAGTTTCTGAATCCATTTTGCCTCTCTGTGTCTCTTAATTGGTGCATTTAGACCATTGACATTGAAGGAGATTATTGTCATGGGGTTTTGTGCCATCATTCTGTAGGGGTTTGTTGTGCTTGTAGGGGTTTTTCTTGTGTTAGAGTAGCCCCTTTAGTCCTTCTTTTAAGTTTGGTTTTGAGTCTATAAACTTCCTGAGCTGTTGTTTATCCATGAAATAGTGTATCGTTCCTTTGAGTTTAAGTGAGAGTTTAGTCAGATAAAGTGTTCTTGGTGAAGCATTCATTTCATTGAGTTTTTTCACTATATTTTCAGGCTTGGAGGGTTTCCTCTGATAGGTCTGCTGTAAATCTAAGGGGTGCTCCTTTGTATGTGATTTCCTTCTTTCCCACTTTGCTGCTTGCACTATTGTGTCTCTATCCATGGCATCCATCATTCTGACTATGATATGTCTTGGAGTCTTTTTGTTAGGGTCTCTTTTAGCTGGTACCCTTCGGACTCCTTAGATTTGGATGTCTGCATTCTTGAGCTCTGGGAACTTCTTAGCGATGATGTCTTTAAACTCTACTACAAAGTGGTAATAATTAAAACAGCATGGTACTGGAACAAAGGCAGAGATGCAGACCAATCGAACAGGGTTGAATATCCTGACACACACCCTCAAATATATGACCATCTAATCTTTGATAAGGGAGCAAGAAATGTGAAGTGGAGCAAAGAAATCCTCTTTAACAAATGGAGCTGGCAAACTGAACAACTACATGCAAAAAAAAGCCTCAGATCTCTACCTAATACCATGTATTAAAATCAGATAAAAATGGATTAAAGACCTCAACATCAGACCAGAATCCATAAAATACATTGAAGACATAAAATACATTGAAGGTTGGCAAAACCCTCCACAACACTGAAGCTAATGGTATCTTCAAAGATGACATGCCACTGGCTAAGCAAGTGAAAACAGATAAACAAATAGGACTATCTTATTTATTTATTTATTTATTTATTTTTTATTAGTGAAACACCCTGAGGTACAGTTATAGACTTATAAATTTTTGTGCTTGGGTTTCAGTTATACAGTGATCAAGTACAAATGGGACTATCTTAAACTAAGAAGCTTATGCATCTCAAAAGAAACAGTGACCAAAATACAAAGAGTCAACAGAATGGGAAAGGATATTTACCCAATATCCATTGGATAACGGCTAGGTCTCAAGGATATACAAGGCACTAGATGAACTCTACAAAAAGAAAACATCCAACCCCATCAGAAAATGGGGTGATGAAATGAAAGGAAACTTTCTCAAAGAAGATATCCAAATGGCCAAAAGGCACATGAAAAAATGCTTTTCATCACTAATCAAGAGGGAGATACAGATCAAAACAACAATGAGATATCATCTTACACCACAAAGACTGTCCTACAGCCAAAAGAACAAAAGCAACTGGTATTGGTGTGGATGTGGGGAGAAAGGGACTTTCCTTCACTGCTGGTGGGAATACCGAATGGTTCAGCCCTTTTGGAAAACAGTATGGATGATTCTCAAAAAATTAGAAATTGAGCTCCCATTTGACCCAGCTATACCACTTTTGGCAATATATCCTGGAAAGGCGAAAGAGTATAGTAGAAATGACATCTGCACTTGTTTGTTCATTGCTGCACTGTTTACAATGTTTACAATGGAAAAAGCCCGGGTGCCCAAGAACAGATGACTCATTAAAGAAACTTCAGCACATCTACACGATGGAATACCATACAGCTGTTAGAAAAGATGAAGCCATGAAATTTGCGTATAAATGGATCAACATGTAAGGTATCATGTTAAGTGAAATGAGTGAGAAGGAGAGGGAGAGACATAGAAAGATTGCATTCATCTGTGGTATATAAAGTAACAGAATCGGAGACTGACACCCGAGAATAATAAGATAAGGACCAGGAGGTTTACCCCACGGCTTGGAAGCCGGCCTCAAATGCAGGGGGGAAAGACAGTTCAGATAGAGAAGGGAACACCAAGTAAAGGGTATTTTGAGGACTAGCTCCGGTTGGGAGATGCAAGCCAAATGTGAATGGATGGAACATATGGATGGAACACAATGGCCATTCAGTGCCTCTAGTGCAAACTACAACATCCAAAAGGAAAGTGAGAACAAAAGGGAATGCCCTGCCTCAGAGGCGGGATGGGGGGGTTGGGGGAGGTGGTGGAAGGATACTGGGATCATTAGTGGCGGAGAATGGGCACTGATAGAATAATGGGTACTTGATCATTGTATGACTGAAACGCAAGCACGGAAGTTTGTAAGTCTGTAACTGTACCCCACGGTGATTCATTAATAATAATAATAAAAGAAATTTGATGCTTTACTAAATATAGCTTGTTTTTGAAAATGCTAGGAAGGTCTTCTTATATATAAGAGATTTCTGAAATTAACTATTCTTTCTGGAAAAAATTAAATCATGCGTGACAAATAAGCTGGCAGTAAAAAATAAGTTTTAAGTTGATAAAAATATCTGACAAAAATACCTACAGCAAATATCATGACTTAATGCTAAATACATTCCTGTTAAGACCAAGAATGATTTCAACCCAAGCTTCAAATGCCTTCCCGCACTCCTTGTGCTTCTGTCCTGCCTTACATGCAAATTCCAGTCCATGCAGATTGATAAGAAAAAGAAATTAAACATGCAAAGATTATAGAAGAAGAAATAAAACATTTGCAAATGTCAGAACTTTTCTGCATATAAAATTATAAAATGATGTACAAGTTATTTAAATTAATAATAGTTAAGAATATCAGCAGTATATAAAACTGTTGAAAGAGTGTATCTCTAGAAAATATACAGCAGCAATAACACAACACATTTTTTTCCCCCATCCCCCTACCCCCCATCCCACCCTGCCGCTGTGGCAGGGCATTCCCCCTTGTTCTCTCTCTCTTCTTTTGGGACACAACACATTTTTAACAGCAAAAAAAATTGGATCATATCAAACAGAAATTGTGCAATTTATGGAGAAAATTGTGAAACTGCATTCAAAGATGACTAAGAATGGCTTTTTTCTGGAATCCCTCCTTAGAAAAGCTCTCCTGTAATCTGGGAGCTTCCCTGTCTTCCTTTGCCTTTCCATTAATAAAGCTCTGTGTTTGGCCATCTGATCGCTAGTCCCTTGCTTTCAAACTTGACTGATGGCAGACAAAAACTTGAAGGCCTGCTCCACCTATGATGAAAAGACTCATTGCAGGAGTCTGGAAAATCAGTGCGATGTAGCTTTCCAGGCCAGAGGAAAGGATGCTTCCAGAGAGAAGAGGTAGCTGGGCCTGCTGGAAGAGAGGCTCCACCCCAGAACTAAGGCCATGTGAAGAATATGGGAAGACCAGATTGACAACTTCTATTGGAAGAGCCAAGGGCAAAAATATACGAAACAGCCTGAAGAAGACAATCAGGTTACATCACAATTAAGAATATCTGTTTATTTACACCATGAAATAAAAAGCTGGGCCTCGAAGTAGAAGATATATTTAAAATATCTAAACATATAATTAACAGTATTGCAAATACAAGTACCTTGGTGAAAATGATTTAAAAATAACTATATATATATATCTCCAATACAAGTTTATACCCAGAGCATATGAATAACAATAATCAATAAAAAGATAACTCCACCCCCCACAATGGGCCAACACCATTAACAGACATTTCACCCAGATGTCACAAATGGCCTTTAAACAAACTAAAGAACACTAAAGTATGTTAAAAATCATGGAAAGGAAAACTAACAGCACAAGAAGATACCTTTTCACAGCAGAATGACTCAATAACCATCTTGAGGTTAGTGGGACTGTGGGGCTCTCGTAATCTCAGCTACTGCTCTGGGGAATGCTTCATATACTTGAAGGAAATTCTTCCATATTTATTCCCTCCTCTCTTCCTCCTTCCCTTCTCCCTTCCCTTTCCCTCCCTTCTCCCTTCCCTCCTCTCTTTCTTTTTTCTTTCTTCTTCCCTTTCCTCCCTTCTTTTCCTCCATCCCTTCCTTCTTTTCTTCCTCCCTCCCTCCCATCTTTCAAGAGGCTACAAGAGACTGGCAGGCACCCTGGGCTAAAAGAACCCTAGAACTTATGACTCCATCCTTTCTCTGTTTGAAAGTAGTTTTGCCATTTTCTTTGTAGGAATTAAAGTGAAATTCTCCTAATCTTTCAAATAGCACACTACATCTGAAAGTGGCTTTCATCTCTAAAATTCATCTTCTGAAAGGTGTAGGACAAGAGTCCTTCAAATTTGAAAATATCACTGGATTATATAGTCTGGCAGTGCCAGATTTCCTTAACAATAATCTTAGACAACCCTTGTCCATATCTCACATTTGCTGTGGAAGAGAAGACTAAAATCATCGCCTGCCTCCTATGGTTATGAAGCTCCCATTCAGAACAGGTACTTCTGTACTCTGCTCCCCAAATCGACCTCTGAAGCTTCTGAGCTCTGCTCTGGAATCCTCTGTAAAAAGAGATTTAAGCATCACATTGCCAGGGCCCTTCCACGATTGGAAAGCTCTGCCTGGATGCAGTTGAGCTCCACGTGGCTGGGAGGTCCTGTGGAAACGCATCCAGTGCCTATTCTCTTCCCATATGTTACCTACTGTCTGGCCAATGCCGTATATGGGTCAGATCTTCTTAACTATTTGATGGAAATATTTGTCACCTAGCTTCTCCTGAGGATATCTGTTCTACTTCCTACTGTTTCGCAAAACACATGGCACATGCTTAAGAGTAAATAGAGATGTTCAGCTTACCTGTAGAGATCTGGGATCATGTTGTCACTGAATCTATTACACAGGTTGTTGAGGACTTGCTCATGTTGGCCAAACAAGCGGATGTAGTTGGAAGTGGGGAAAGGCTTCTTCGAAAGGCATGTGATAGTTTCCACCATCTTATACTTATTAATATGTATTCGGAAGTAATTACCTTCACTTGCAGTACCTGTTACTATCTCTGTGCCCTGCAAGGAGGGAGAAGGTTCAGGTAGACAATATTAGAAACATTTTTGGACATTGGGAACTTTATTATAGCAATGTATTCTTCAATTGGAACAGGTTTTACCCTATCATTTCTTTTAAATAGCAGTAATGGATATTGACTGGACTCAGTGGGAGATAACAAACAGGGTGTCGGAGACCACACTGTCACTGTCACTGTCCTCCTGTTGTTCATCAATTTGCTTGAGCTGGCCCAGTAATGTCTCCATTGTGACACTTGTTACTGTGTTTGGCATATCAAATACATCACGAGTAGCTTGCCAGGCTTTGCCAAGCAGGTGAGATATGCTCGGTAGCTTGCCGGGATCTCCGAGAGGGTCAGAGGTATCGAACCTGGGTCGGCCAGGTCGGCCACATGCAAGGTAAATGCCCTACCCGCTGGGCTATTGCTCCAACCCCAGAAACCACACACTTGGACTAAATGATGTTCTGATCCAGTTCCCCTGAATGTCTGAAACTGTGAATACATTGTTCCTATTTCTAAATTATTTTCTAGGTGATGACCACCAATTACTCAAAATCTTACACAGCTAATGTGGGGAACTACAATTAAATTTTCTTCTGGGAGGTAATTTTGTTTATTATATTATTATAAATATTTTTTGCTTTTTGGGTCACACCTGACAATGCACAGAGGTTACTCCTGGCTGGCTCATGCACTCAGGAATTACTCCTGGAAGTGCTCAGGGCACCATACGGGATGTTGGGAATCCTTGGAATGCCTGCCTGCTGAGCTCCAGCTACAGACATACCCACCATGAGCACCAGCAGCCAGACTGAGCAGGTTTGGTGTACAAACGTAAGTTTTGTTAGAGAGCTGAATTCCCATTTCCCCTATACTCTAAACTTTGTGCATAGCAATGCTCAATAAATCTTTGCCTAGTGCATATAGAGTCAGGCTTTTGCTCTGAGTTTGAATATGACATTTAAAATCCAAGGAAAGGTGGACTGTGTTGATTTCAAACATTTATTTAATCCTGGATATCCTCTGGGGATTTTGTCTAAACAAGAACACACAGTTTAACTAGATATATAAGTAAATTAAAACAACTTGGAAGGTGTTTGCTTATCATAGAGTGAAGCTCTGAGGAGGAATCAGTCAACTGTTAGACACAAGGTCAGTTATAGGAAGAATGTCAGGTAAATCTTGAACCAACAAGGGAAAGAAATTCACAAGAAAAAAATCTCCCAGTAAGGTAGTCTCAAACAAAACAACGGGGCAGACCTACAACAAGATATAATGTATGTAGCAGAAATTATTGGCACACCATATATTATAATAGCAAAATATGTTCATAGTATCTTTTATAGAAGTATAAAAGTAAAGAAGTAGTTTGCATGGTATACCATTGTAATAAAAATATACATAGTGTCATTCTCTTTTTTTGGGTACGATTTTTTAAAAAGTTCTTTTAAAGCACTCAGGTTGTGCTAGCACATGAACCAGACTTTGGATGAACAAAATGAAAAAAAGAGAAATGAAACAGAGCAGAGGGAACAAGTATGGAAGGAAGGAGCAGAGAAAGGGAATTGCTTCTGGGAAGGAGTCTAGTGTGGAAGAAGGGGAAGCTGGTCCTTCAGGATAAGAGCCTAGAAAATTCCATGCCAGTGCCTTTGGCCTCAGGCTGCTGTCCTTACCTGTCATCTTCTCAGTCTTGCTCTCTCCATAAACTTTCTCTCAGCCCAGATTGCCCCATGGGGAAAAAAATTTACAGACTATGAAGGCACTGTGATTTACATAGTTATTAATCGTTGTAGGTGTTTAATCACAAGGGTGATTAGAGGTCACCCCAAAAGCCTCTATACCTCTCGGAAAGACTGGCAAGCTACCGAGAGTATTCCGCCCGCACGGAAGAGCCTGGCAAGCTATCCGCTGTGTATTCGATATGCCAAAACCAGTAACTACAACTGGTCTCATTCACCTGACCCTGAAGGCTTCACCGACATGGCAGCACTGAGAAGGATGAGAAAGGAGAGGCCGACAAAATCTCAAGGCCGACCTAGGCTGCCACAACGAAGGAAGACAAAAATGATCGTCTGTACTTTCAATGCACGTACGCTAGCATCAGATGCATCCATCGAGGACCTGATGGTACAAGCGCGAATGATCAAGTACGACATCATTGGTCTGACCGAGACAAGAAGACACGAATCTCACCATGCCGTTTTCGACACTGGAGAAGAATTGTTCCTCGGAACATGCGATAAAAGAGGTGTTGGAGGCGTCGGTGTCCTTGTCAACACAAACTTGGCCAAGAGCATTGATTCATTTGAATGCCTAACAACCCGAATCGGACGTTTACATTTGAATAGATGTGGCTCACTGCCTGCAGTTTCTATCTTCGTTGTCTACGCACCAACATCTCATTATGATGAAAGAGAAATCGAGAAGTTCTACATGGAGCTAGAGAAGTTCTATAAAGAAGACCACACCTTCTACAAGATCATTGTGAGTGATTTTAATGCCAAGATAGGACCGAGAAGATCAGCTGAAGAACTTCACATCGGAACCCATGGCCTAGAATGGAACGAACAGGGTGAGAGACTGTCTGAGTTCATCATGTCGACCAAGACCATTCATGGTAACTCACAGTTCCAGAAGGCAGAATCTAAACGATGGACATGGGAGTCTCCCGGTGGACGATTCCACAACGAAATAGACCACATCATATTCAATCGACGGTTTTGCCTGACTGATGTCGCTGTTGTCCCAAAATTTCGAACGGGATCGGACCACCGTCTCCTTCGTGCAAAATTCTACTTCACAGAGCGGGGAGAAAGGGCTGCAAAGTTCAAAAAGAGAACTCCCAGAACGACCACCAACTGGGAACTCTTTGGTACTATTGCGGCAACATGGGAAGATGCCATTGTTGACAACATTGACGAGGAATACGATCGACTGGTTCAACACCTCCATGAATGTGCGAGGAACGCCAAGAGAGAGATAGCCACAAAAAGTCGCCTATCTTCGAAAACTCTTGAGCTAATTCGCCAGCGTGGTTTGGCGCATGCCTCAGGCAACCGCAAGCTAACGTCCGAGCTTGCAAAGCAGTGCAGAGATGCGATCAAGGAAGACCTCAAAGAGAGAAGAGCAGAAGTACTGGTAGATGCGGCAGAAGCCGGGAAAAGTATTCGTAACGCCCGCCTGTCCTTCGCCAACTATAAGACCAAGATGACTGCCCTCCGACGTCCTGATGGATCCATCACATCCTCCAGAACGGCAATGGAGAAGATTATCCATGACTTCTACTCAAATCTCTTCGATAGCCATGTCCACTTGCTGACATACCAAATTCCACAGGATGGGTATGTCGTTCCCAACGTTCTCCCTTCCGAAATCCGACACGCCATTTCGTCAGTAAAGAAGCAAACAGCACCCGGCCCAGACAAGGTCAGACCTGAACACCTGAAGAACCTGCCGTCAGTACTCATCAATACACTGGCTCGGCTCTTCACTCGCTACCTGTCTGAATGCAAGGTTCCATCTCAATGGAAAACCAGCAGGACCGTACTACTGTTCAAGAAGGGAGACATCCATGACATTGGCAACTATCGCCCGATCTGCCTATTGTCTGTCATCTACAAGTTGTTCACTCGAGTCATCCTGAATAGGATTGGCAGAACACTAGATGAAGGACAACCATGTGAGCAAGCAGGGTTCCGCAAAGGATTCAGCACCATCGACCATATCCACACGATAACCAAACTCATTGAGGTTTCTCGGGAGTTCAAGATGCCGCTCTGCTTAACGTTCATTGATTTAAAGAAGGCCTTTGATTCTGTTGAGACAGAAGCGGTCATTGAAGCCCTAGCCAATCAGGGCATTCAAGCCTCCGTGAGCTGTATTGCGGATTCACTACCAGGATCTCACCATTCTACAAAGAAGTGATCGTTGATGTCAAGAGAGGGGTGCGGCAGGGTGATACCATTTCACCAAAACTCTTCAGTGCCACCCTCGAGAACATCATGCGATGACTGGAATGGGAAGGAATGGGAGTGAAGATAGATGGTCGGCAACTACACCACCTCCGCTTTGCTGATGATATTGTTTTAATAACACCAAACATCAGCCAAGCGGCACAAATGCTGGCCGACTTTGACCGTGAGTGTGGAAAGGTAGGACTACAGCTGAATCTTACGAAGACAATGTTTATGAGAAACAGCCTTGTTCCTGACGCCCCATTCGCTCTCAATGGAACGACCATCTCCGAATGCAACAGCTATGTGTACCTAGGTCGAGAGGTCAACATGAGAAATGACCTGGCACCCGAGCTGCGCAGGAGGAAGAGAGCGGCTTGGAACGCCTTCAAGAACGTCGAAGAAATAGCTAAGAGGACGAAGAACCTCCGGCTCCGGGCACATCTCTTTGATTCCACTGTTCTTCCTGCATTAACATATGCCTCAGAGACCTGGGCCCTACGCAAACAAGATGAGAACGCCATTCAGGTCTCCCAAAGAAGAATAGAAAGAGCTATGCTTGGAATATCACGTTTCACTCAAATGAGAGAACGAATCCGGAGTTCTGACATCCGTCGACGATCAAGGATCAGGGACGCTGTCTCATTTGCCAAGGTGTCGAAAATCAGATGGGCTGGTCACGTAATGAGATTTAAAGACGACCGTTGGACTAGAGCTGTTACTGATTGGATTCCACGGGATGTCAAGAGACCGCGTGGCCGCCCACCTACCAGATGGTCAGACTTCTTTGTCAAGGTCATGAACGATCGGTTTGAGGCCCTCCATGTTCCCGGAGCGAAGAGATGCCATTGGGCTACACTAGCACGCGACAGGGACAAATGGAGACGTTACTGGCGCCCGCTCGAGCAAATCGACGACTAACGGGAAGTTAAGTGATTAAGTGATTAAGTGATTAATCGTTGAGTTTCAGGCATATAATGTTTTGACACCAATCCCTCCGCCAGTGTTGACTTCCCTCTGCCAATGTCCCCAGGTTCCGTCCTATGCCTCAGCCTGCCTCTTTGAAAAGAAGATTTTTAAGCTTGGCTGTTGTAGTTCATATTTCATGATTATAGTATTGTTGAGCGTGGGTTCGATTCATTTGCCTCTCTCGGAGAGCCCGGAAAGCTACCGAGAGTATCCCACCTGCATGGCAAAACCTGGCAAGCTACCCATGACATATTCAATATGCCAAAAACAATAACAACAAGTCTCACAATAGAAACATTACTGGGCCTGCTCGAGCAAATTGATGAACAACAGGAGGACAGTGCTACAGTGCTTCAGTAGTATATCACACCTATTACAGCACCAGTGTGCCCAAGGCCCCTGACTCCTATCCTGGTTATCCCCCGATCTGTCTCTTCTTATTCCTCCATTCAGTTTCTTTCACTCTCTGTCCTCACTTCCATGATCAAGATTTAAGAATAATTTGGGTACCCATTTCTTTCGATGTCACGCATTCTCTCCTGCTGTTTTTCTTCTATATACCACAGGGGCTGGAGCGATAGCACAGCGGGTAGGGCGTTCGCCTTACAAGTGGCCAACATGGCCGACCCAGTTCGATTCCTCCGCCCCTCTCGGAGAGCCCGGCAAGCTACCAAGAGTATTCGATATGCTAGACACAGTAACAACAAAGTCTCCAATGGAGACGTTACTGGGCCCGCTCAAGCAAATCGACGATCAACGGGAGGGCCTTTACCTTTATACCACAGAAAAGTGAGCTCTCCAGTATTTGTTCCTCTGACTCACTTCAGATAACATGTTAACCTCCAGTTTCATTAGGTTACAAAGAATTTAATGACTTCATCATTTTTCACAGATGCATAGTATTTCATTGTGTATATATAACATACATGCACTGTCCATTCATCTTTGTTGGGCACTTAGGTTAATTTCATATCCTAGCAATTGTGCTGAGTGCTGTAATGGATAGTGATATGCATATGTCCTTTTGAATGAATCTTTTTGTGTTGGGAGTAGATATCAAGTAGTCAAATTGTTGTTTTATATGGTAGGTCTATTTTTACTTTTCTGAGAAAGCTCAATACTGTTTTCCATAGGGGTTGATCCAGGCAAAATTCCCACAATTTTTTTATTCATGTCTATTTCATCAAATATAGAATTGTCAGACTTTAGTCTGACATTAGGTGGAACATAGGGTGGAACATGTGGCATCTCAGTATCATAATCAGTACATTTTTCATATAGTCAATTCAAATTTCCCTTTATGCACATAGATCAGTGACAGTGAAAAATATACCTGTCATGTGCATTTCTAAGAATAAATGCAAAACCTGCTGAAAGTAGACTACAGACCGAACATGATTGCCACTCAATGCCTCTTTTGCAAACCACAGCACTCAAAAGGAGAGAACAAAAGGGAATGTCCTGCCACAGACGCAGGGTGGAATGGGGGGTTGGGGGGTGGGACAGATACTGGGATCAGTGGTGGTGGAAAATGGGCACTGGTGGACGGATGGGTACTCACTCGATCATTGTATAATTGAAACCCAAGCACAAAAATTTGTAAGTCTACAACTGTACCTCATGGTGTTTCACTAATAAAAATTAAAAAATAAAAAAGTAAAAATAAAAAAAAGACCATTTGGAGATTGACATTAGCAACTTTATTGTTGAGTGAGTTCCTTCACTACTGACATCATGGGGAGAAAGTTGACAGAGTATCCCAAGAGGTTTCATCTCCTCACCTGGTTTGATACGCCTGGGCAAAGATGTATTGATGATTGCTATGCACAAGGTTCAGAGTATAGGGGGAAATGGAGATTAGACTCTCACCAACAAAACTTTTGTTTGTCTATCAAAGTTTCCAGTTTGGCTGCTGCTGCCTATGGAGGATATGTCTCTGGCTGGTAGACCAGCAGGCAGACGTTAAGAAGGTTGAAACTGAATAGAATTGATCAAGGATCAAGGATCACTTCTGTGAAGGGGAAGGCCTTTTTCGGATTTATTTTTGAATTACAGGATCAATTAACAAACTGATTACCTCCCTTTGAGACCTCCCAAGTCTTACCAGGATACCTAGAGTCCACTTTGGTGATTTTAGATCAGCTGGGCTAATGGTTTATCTTGAGGGTCTGAAGATGAAGCACTGCTCAGGATTCTGTGTTGCCAGGGTTTATCTGGGTCACCCTGAAGATTTTCTGGGACCTCTGGATCTATACTCATGGTTCTTATTGGTGACTCCTGGCTCTATGCTGAGGGTTCACTTCTAGTAGTACTCAGGAAACCATATGTGGTGCACAGGATCGAAGTTTTATGAAAGGCAAGAGCCTTAACCCCCATGTTATCTCTGTGGTACAACAGCTGAATTGTGTCTCCAGATTCTTGAAATACAAATTTTGTATCACCTCTGTGAGTCTAAACATATTATAATTATGAGGGCTTAAGGAGTATAGAGAGCAGCCACACTATTGAAAAGAAAACAAACAAGCTATGCTGTAATAACTAAATTTAGCTTTGGAAGTAATTGTGTCAATTTATGCGAGAACTGACATTACATAAGCATAACTGGGAGGGACATTCTAGAATTTGGAATGTAGCAAAATATTTTGCATTGAAATGAAAGGTAATTCACCTGTGTATATATGTTTCTCAAACACAAATTACCTCATAGGGTCAGACAGATCTGTATAAACTATTTAGATCTTTCTTATCAGTATTTTTCAGACGTCCAGAAATCTTTTTGCCTGTCTCTAGAGAAAAATCACTCAACTGAGTGATGATTTAAGGCAGATGCAGTGTTGCTATTTAATGAAGTTCTGAGATAATGATTATTTTTCACACCTTTTCCAATTTTGTGGGTTATGTCTGGCTCCTTTTAAAAGTAAATTGCTAGGAAATTTAGACCTTGAATTTAAGATTTTGATGGACTGCTTCTGGTATGAGTTTTCATTTTCGCTTGAATACAAATATCATTTTTAGTTCCTTTATGATTTTTTGACAAAGGTTGGAAAATGGCACTACAATTCATGCCAAATCTAAGACACAGGATTAATCAGACTTGGTATGCAGGGAATCAAGTTCCCAAATCCCATGACGAACACACAATTTAAAATTTAATGGTATCCAAGGCAGAATTTGTTGTGACAAATTTCTTTATGCTGTAGTGTATAAGCCAACAAAGCATGTGGACTTGAATCTGTAAATTAGTTTATTATGTAGGCGACTTGCAGTGCCCTTTCTTCTTTTTGTCAGGTTACTCCTCAGAGAGCTCATGAATTACTGACATATCTTATTACTTAATATTCCAATTAGTAGCTGCTATCAAAGTCTATAAAATTCATCTGTATTGCATTTATTGGAAGAACAGTAATTTCATTTCTCTAGGGAAATGTTCTTTAGGGGCTCTATTCTCAATCAATTGACTGTATTTAGGTGATTGCCAGGCCATTCTGGCAATAATTTTACTTAATCAAATTAGTTCCAACCCCCAAAGATTGCCATGGAGCCATCCTACATTTTTTAAAAGAGAATAACATGGAAAAATCTGTTTAGATCTTCTGTACTAATTAAAACGGAGGCCCACCTGGCAAAATGGTTAATTAAAGTCAGGGGTCCTGTTCAAATACTGTCATAGCATCAGCCAAAAAAATCTATTTAAGTTGCAGTCTTATAAAAAAAAACTCATTATCTAAAAGCCTCTTTGGCTCCTCCTCTGACTTTATTCAAAAGAGAACCAGTGTCTTATAAATAAATGACACTGCACGTAAGAAATTACACTTTGAACTAAATGAATCAGTTGTCTAACAACTCCAGTATCTTTCTAGCTCTTCAACATATTCAAGCAATCACTGTTCATTTACAATGATCAACCTCAGAAAATACATTATTTAAGTTTCTTCCTATTGACTTAATAATGCAACCTATTGATGATATGTTGTTAATCACAACAGTATTTCCTCCTTATACACACTTACTATATTAACACTTTGTCACAATTCCCATTGAGAGACAAATTGTAGGAGGTCTTCTTTAACTAGTGGATACAAGTATTTCAAGAGAGTATGGAGCAATGACACTGTGAGTTCAGGGATCCCTCCTGGCAGTACTCAAAGAACCATATTACGTATTTCCATTGGATCAAACTGGTGTCATCCCAGACATATGAAAATCAAGTGCCTTAACCTCTGATCTCTCTGGTCCAAGAAAAGATTTTTAAACATATACTTGCTAGTGGGAAGTCTGAATGAAAGGGAGCAGAGAATATATAGCCAATATCTGTACTAGCACATCTTAATTTTACTTTAAACCTAAATTTGCACATAGACATCTAGTTAAAAATACTTGTGGTTTAAAATAAATACATTTAAAAATAAATAAATAAAGTTATGAAAATAAATAAATAAATAAATAAAACAAATACATTTTTCATTATCATAGTCTTTGGCAATCAGGATTTGATAGTGAGTGGTTTGTCTGGGATGTTTCTAACTTACATCCTTCATGTTTGTATATTAGTTGTGGTGATATCATCTGAAAGCTTGATTATGGCTGAAGGCTTCATTTCCAAGGCAACTCTATCACCTAAAAGGCACATTTCTAATGGCTGGTAGAGGAATCTTCAATACTCTACCATAGGTCTCTCCCAAGGTATACTCAAGTAAGCATGACAGCAAGTGACCCACGAGGATAGAAGTTGGAAAATGGAATATCTTCAAATTTCCAAATGATATAAACTTAGAAATCACTCTCTTTGCCACAATAACCCATTGACTGTATCAGTCAGTTCTACAGTGTGGGAGGGGACCACATAAGGGCTTGCCTACAAAGAAGCAAGAATCACTGAGGGTCATCATGGGAGCTAGCTACCACAGTGACGCTAATGCATGGACCCATACCTTATATTCAATGCTGAACAAAGAATTCCAACCCTTGTATACGAAATGTTATATATGAAAGTAAAGTTAAATTTAGAAATATGACTTACAAAATCAGCCTGGGCCATATGTACTTCTAAGGGAGTTGGAATGGCAGGCTTGGCAATATGCAGATAATAGTAGGACCTTGGAAGGATGCCACCTAGAGAAAATGGCAAGTTTAATTCAGACATGAGTGAAGGAGGTAGCAGTGCTGTTATTTGTAGCATACGACAAATAGCAATGCCTACAAGTTGTATATGCTACTCAACCCCTCCCATTAAAGTACTATTAATAGTGAGACATTCCCTGTGGCAATTGAGCTTTACTTAATAAGATCAATGTGAATGTACCATTACATCTTATCATTTATACATTTGGGAGGTATATGGTATTCCCAGTTCCCATCATTCCTTCCTAAACAACTATCCTATTAAAAATAAATGCTGTAACAAAACTCAAAGTTCTATTTAGTGTTTTAAAAACAACTATTTCCAGCAAATTATTACTATTTGTAACTTGTCCTAGAGATCTGTACCAGTTCTATGGCACTCTCTTTCCTTTCCCATGGCCACCATATGATTATAAGGTTTTATCCAGAGTAAGAAGCAGAGCAGGACCTCTGTTTGTTTGTTTGTTTGTTTATTTATTCATTTATTTTAAATTTTGGGTCACATTCAGTTATGAAAGGGAATGACTAACCAAAGATTCAAGATAGAAATTATTCCCAAGAAGATAAAGAAGACATGATCAGAGAAGGACTTCTCCCTTTCTGAAGGAAGACATTTTTTGTTTGTTTTACTCAGATTACACTTGTAGTGTTTAGGGATTACTTCTGGCTTTGTGTGCAGGAAACCACATGCTCTGCCAGGGATTGAACTCGAGTAGGGTGCGTGCAAAGCACACACCTTACCCACTCTCTACTTCTCCTAGCAGAACCTCTAAAGCACAGTTAGGTATAAAGGACAGGGACAGGAATGCAGGGCTTTTGTGTCTTAGGCTGCTTTTCTTTTTACTGAGGATGGCCCATATTCAGTCCTTTTGGGTTTACAGATGGCTTTGAGGCTTGTGCACCAACCTCATGGAAATGAACAGACAATTTTGTAAATAGGTGTATTTTTTGGTAGAAGCTATTTTCAAAGGTATCTCTTCCCAGAAAAAAATGAAGAACTACTACACATCTCTTAGGACTCAGTAAGGTATAGTGGATAAAAATAGACTGATTTAAAATAAAATGGTTTAGTTTTTTATCCATAGGGCAGGTTAGGGTTTAGGTTACTCAGGAAAGCATCTTTAACTTTAAATTTATAGTGAGAATAAAAATTTGGGGTATTTTGTTAAGACATCATTTTTGAGTGAGCTCTGCAAAAATTCTGATCATTCCCTACTTTTACTTTTATTTAATTTGTAAGATGACAGACAATAGGCAGATCGGGCGATAGTTGCCAATGTCATGGATGTCTCCCTTCTTGAACAGTAGTACGGTCCTGCTGGTTTTCCATTGGGACGGAACCTTGCATTCAGATAGGTAGCGAGTGAAGAGCCGAGCCAGTGTATTGATGAGTACTGACGGCAGGTTCTTCAGGTGTTCAGGTCTGACCTTGTCTGGGCCGGGTGCTGTTTGTTTCTTTACCGACGAAATGGCGTGTCGGATTTCGGAGGGGAGAACGTTGGGAACAACATACCCATCCTGTGGAATTTGGTATGTTGGCAAATGGACATGGCTATCGAAGAGATTTGAGTAGAAGTCATGGATAATCTTCTCCATTGCCGTTCTGAAGGATGTGATGGATCCATCAGGACGTCGGAGGGCAGTCATCTTGGTCTTATAGTTGGCGAAGGACAGGCGGGCCTTACGAATACTTTTCCCGGCTTCTGCCGCATCTACCAGTACTTCTGCTCTTCTCTCTTTGAGGTCTTCCTTGATCGCATCTCTGCACTGCTTTGCAAGCTCGGACGTTAGCTTGCGGTTGCCTGAGGCATGCGCCAAACCACGCTGGCGAATTAGCTCAAGAGTTTTCGAAGATAGGCGACTTTTTGTGGCTATCTCTCTCTTGGCGTTCCTCGCACATTCATGGAGGTGCTGAACCAGTCGATCGTATTCCTCGTCAATGTTGTCAACAATGGCATCTTCCCATGTTGCCGCAATAGTACCAAAGAGTTCCCAGTTGGTGGTCATTCTGGGAGTTCTCTTTTTGAACTTTGCAGCCCTTTCTCCCCGCTCTGTGAAGTAGAATTTTGCACGAAGGAGACGGTGGTCCGATCCCGTTCGAAATTTTGGGACAACAGCGACATCAGTCAGGCAAAACCGTCGATTGAATATGATGTGGTCTATTTCGTTGTGGAATTGAGTTGTTCACTCGAGTCATCCTGAATAGGATTGGCAGAACATTAGATGAAGGACAACCATGCGAGCAAGCAGGGTTCCGCAAAGGATTCAGCACCATCGACCATATCCACACAATAACCAAGCTCATTGAGGTTTCTCGGGAGTTCAAGATGCCGCTCTGCTTAACGTTCATTGATTTAAAGAAGGCCTTTGATTCTGTTGAGACGGAAGCGGTCATTGAAGCCTTAGCCAATCAGGGCATTCAAGCCCAATACATCAGGATCCTCCGTGAGCTGTATTGCGGATTCACTACCAGGATCTCACCATTCTACAAAGAAGTGATCGTTGATGTCAAGAGAGGGTTTCAGCAGGGTGATACCATTTCACCGAAACTCTTCAGTGCCACCCTCGAGAACATCATGCGACGACTGGAATGGGAAGGAATGGGAGTGAAGATAGATGGTCGGCAATTACACCACCTCCGCTTTGCTGATGATATTGTTTTAATAACACCAAACATCAGCCAAGCGGCACAAATGCTGGCCGACTTTGACCGTGAGTGTGGAAAGGTAGGACTAGAGCTGAATCTTATGAAGACAATGTTTATGAGAAACAGCCTTGTTCCTGACGCCCCATTCGCTCTCAATGGAACGACCATCTCCGAATGCAACAGCTATGTCTACCTAGGTCGAGAGGTCAACATGACAAATGACCTGGCACCCGAGCTGCGCAGGAGGAAGAGAGCGGCTTGGAACGCCTTCAAGAACGTCGAAGAAATAGCTAAGAGGACGAAGAACCTCCGGCTCCGGGCACATCTCTTTGATTCCACTGTTCTTCCTGCATTAACATATGCCTCAGAGACCTGGGCCCTACGCAAACAAGATGAGAACGCCATTCAGGTCTCCCAAAGAAGAATAGAAAGAGCTATGCTTGGAATATCACGTTTCACTCAAATGAGAGAACGAATCCGGAGTTCTGACATCCGTCGACGATCAAGGATCAGGGACACTGTCTCATTTGCCAAGGTGTCGAAAATCAGATGGGCTGGTCACGTAATGAGATTTAAAGACGACCGTTGGACTAGAGCTTTACTGATTGGATTCCACGGGATGTCAAGAGACCGTGTGGCCGCCCACCTACCAGATGGTCAGACTTCTTCCTGAAGATCATGAACGATCGGTTTGAGGCCCTTCATGTTCCCGGAGCGAACAGATGCCATTGGGCTACACTAGCACGCGACAGGGACAAATGGAGACGTTACTGGCGCCCGCTCGAGCAAATCGACGACTAACGGGAAGTTAAGTGATAAGTGAAGTGATTAATTTGTAAAATGGGGACCATGGATAATGTGAATGGTTCACAGTAAATGTCCAAAAAGCAAAATACATGATGATGATGATGACAGATCTATAACAGATAGCTAAATATGAAAGTGAATTCTTTCTCTCTCTCTCTCTCTCTCTCTCTGCAGACCTATGAGGAACAGAAACATCTCCTCACTAAGAAATCTCAAATGCTCAATGTTGACCTGACCACTGATCTGGCTCAATTCAACTTTAGCAGAGAAAGGAAGGTGCTGTACTACATACCTTGAATCTTGGCTCCTTTGTACATGGGTATAAGTCGATCGAGTTCGGGGGGTGGCTCAGTCACAGGCTCAATAGTTGGATCAAAGAGGTTGAGCATAGTTGCCGCCAGCTGAAAACCAATCTCTTTGGAATTGAAGTTGCTGTGAGTCCATTCATTTGCATAATATCGATTAGAAAACTTGGTGAGGGACCCAGCAGCTCTGATGGCCAGGTCATTAGTATGAAAGCTGGTATCTATCACAAGTCGGCCATCATAGACAAGACATGCATCATTGAATGCTTTAAATGTTTTGTAATCCACATTCTTCTCACAAAAGCTGAAGAACATCTACAAGGTAAGCAATCATATTAGTCAGCTATCACTCTTCATCTTACTTTCCCAAGTGTGAACAGTGTCCAGTTGGTTTTAATCTTTGGGGAACACATGCAGATCTAATAAAGTTTATAATAATGGCATGGAAGTGGATTGGGGAATGGATGGGAGAGAGGAAAACTGCCTCTCAGTACAGACATCCAGTGGACAGAACAAAGACATGTGATGGAATACAGACCACAAAAGTCGATATAAAGGAGGTTGACACTCATGGAGATGCCATGTGTCTCTCATCCTCACACATTTTGAATAGCTGCTAATAATAGCTCTTAATAGTCCTTTTTGCATCTTCCTCTTCCCACAGTTGACACTTAGATCTCTCTAAGTGTCACCTCATCCAGTTTTATTTTCTTTTTGGGTCACACCCAGGGATGCACAGGGGTTACTCCTGGTTCATGCGCTCAGGAATTACTCCTGGTCATGCTCGGGGGACCATATGGGATGTTGGGAATCAAACCCATGTTCGCAATGTGCAAGGCAAATGCCCTGCCCGCTGTGCTATCACTCTAGCCCGGCAGTTTAGAGTTTTAATATGGTTCCATGCATGGCCTCTTAAATCAGGATTCCTACCCCTGAAGGATTCCTTAGGGAGAATGGAAGTCTGATCAGTTGCACTGTCTACCAGGTTGGAATTCTTGCCATATTTCTTCCTCTCCTGGTGTTGCAGAGAGTTGCTCAATAAATATTTACAGGGTATCAACCATATGTTATGCACTTTGCCATAAAGTGACTGTAAATCTCGCTATATCATCCTTAAAAGTGATCATCCCCTATATTTCATGCCCAAAGTTCAATGCCTTTTCATGCTCCTCTGAACATCTTCCCTACAGAGGTTGAAAATCACTGAAGCAGTCTAGGGCATTTGTTTCTATCTCTATCTTCATGTGTTAAAGTAGCACTGCACTGTAGCACTGTCCTCCCGTTGTTCATCGATTTGCTCGAGCGGGCCCAGTAATGTCTCCATTGTGAGACTTGTTACTGTGTTTGGCATTTTGAATACGTCACAGGGAGCTTGCCAGGCTTTGCCGTGCTGGCGAGATACTCTCGGTAGCTTGCCGGGCTCTCCGAGAGGGGCGGAGGAATCGAACTCGGGTTGGCCATATTGGCCGCTTGCAACGCAAACGCCCTACCCACTGTGCTATCGCTCCAGCACCCCCATTCACCCTAAAATAATTTATTGTCTACTAATTACAAGTTACTATGCTGTATTATTGGAATTCAATGGTAATTGAAAGCAAACATGTTCCTCAACAGATGGAGATTTTACTAAAAAGTGTTTAATTTTGTAGCTAGGTAATTTGTACAATATAACTTTTTAGAAAATTCTGTATTTTCAGTGATATTTCTGAAATGTCAATAACATAAGTAATAAATAAAAAGTAACTAATTGCATCATTTTACATTACTGAATACTTCCTGAGAAGTTTTAAATTCATTTATGATTTTCATAACAGAATATTTAGAATGATCACTTATTTTTCTGTCACTCAAATATGTGCTATTAGTGATTAGATTTTAACTAACGTAATTAGACTCACTGATAATATTATGTGTTAAGTGGTGGAGAAAAATTACATGGCTCTTATATTTACCTAAATAGTTTGTTACCTTATTAAACAGGCTTAAAATGGACATTTGAGCCATGAATGTGGCTTAGAGCAGAGCATAATTCCTCATGTATAAGGCTGTGACTTCTAGTCACAACAAAATACTTTTTAAAGAGATTGCACAGGGCATGAGTCTTCACAACACTTGTTCCTCTTGGACTGTTTCCTCCATGTTTGTTGTATCCCCCTCATTTGCCCAATTCTCCTTCAGAAATAAGCACTTTTAGGCCAGAGAAATTCCCTGTCCATATACTCTCCTTATACCCCTGAGTATGCATGAATGGTGAATGGTCCATGAGTGATTCTGCAGTAGCAACAAGTCATAAGTGGCTATGTAAATTTCAATCTAAATAAAAAATTTAAATTCATTGACCTTCCCTTTGTATAGAAGTTTGTTTAAAATGCTTAACAGCCACAAGTGGCTAGTGGCTGACAAATTGAGCAGCACAGATATAGACTATTTCTAACACTAAAAGTTCTGTTGGACAACACTGTATTCAAAATCTTTACCTTGGTCATGCCCTTTATTTTTCCTAGGAAAAGCCTTTGCTTTCTTCATATCTCTGTTCACTCGGTTTTAGGATCTTATCCGCAATATTCCTACACAAGGCAGCCTTTCCTCTATAATGTCTTTTCTGGGGGGTGGGAGAGGCTGCAGTTATACCCAGCAGTGTTTGAAAATACTCTTCTTTATGTGTGTGGAGGTTGCTCACGATGGTGCCAGGAGGACCAGGTGTTGCTGGGGGTCCAACCTGGGTCTCACACATGCAAGCATGTGCTCAGCTTTCTGAGTGTCTCTCTGACTCTCTAATGCCATTTTGGATGGGGAAGAGGGTAGAAGTTCAAACTATAGCAGACCACCCCCTACTCTCAGATGAAGTATGGTCATGTCCCTCAACTGCTTCGCCCACTAGATGTTGCTATCATTCTTCATCACTACTGCTAGTATATACCTTTGATTAAACAGCACACACTGATCTTAGACTATCCTTTGTGTGCGGTCTCCTACGCCTGTATTAGATTGGCTAGCCCCTTTTTTCTCTCTCTCCATATTGGCTTATACTAACCCCCTGAACTTTAACGTTAAGACTATAGGCTGTAAATCAATATTTAACCTCCTCATGACATCTTGTGTCTTCACTTCACCCCACAAAGGCATTCTATCTCCATGTCTTCTAAGTCTCTATTCCATGGAGAAAGACTCACTACTGCTACTTTCAGACACTCAAGGGGCCAATAACAGCACAGACTTAGGGGTTCTGCTGTCCTGGATTGGGATCCTACTACATGGCAGACTTGGAGAGATGGTGTTTGAATCTTTTAAATGAGGATGCTTCCCTTGAGAGGGGGTGACAGAACTCAATGAAAGCATATAGCTTGGTGTCTGGGATATAGAAAGCTCTGTTAATGGAAGCACTATTCAAATCTTCAGCATGCTTCCATGAAGATGCAAGGTCTAATATCATATCACTGATATCATATTAAGCAAATTAAGTCAGAGGGAGAAGGACAAATACCAGATGATATCACTCACCTTTGGTAAACAGAGAAACAAAACAAGGAAATAGTACCAAAGGATAACAAACTGAGATTTGATAATTTGATAAGATAACAAACAGTAACACTATTGTAAACATAGAGTGATAGTGATAATAACTATTAGGGTTTTCATTTAGGTAGGAAGAGGGGAGCTTGTTACACAGCAACTGATAATCTGAACAGTTAGAAAACAAAACCCCAAATTAGTGACTAGAAATTCACTGCCAGTCCCTGGCAGACAACATATGGCAGTGGCAGTAAGTAAAGGTCACAGGGACCTACTCACCGAACAGAAGAGTTTGAAAGGCTTGGTGAATGTGGTGAAGCTGGCACAGTAGATGGGATCTGGATTCTGCCCGTCATTCCACTGCGCCAAGAGGGCATCCCTGTAGACGGTCACTCCCTCTGCCGCTAGTGCAGCATCCACGGCATTGTCCACAACGTAGTTGTTGAAGCAGGTGGTGGTGTACAGGGACGGGGGCTGCACCAGGAAGATGTGGCAGCCCTTGATACCAATGTGTAAGAGCATTTCCACTGTGGTATATGTGTCAAGAGTATTCCCATAGACAATGACATTCCCTAGGGGGGAAAGGGAGAATGCTATGGTATACAGTTTTTAAAAATGTCTTATTAGTCAAATGCAAATAATACTGGTTTGCTTTCTGTTACCCTTTCGATTTTTTTTCAGCTGCAGGAAGCCAGCATTGTTACCTAGCAACAGCACTAAGATAATTTAGTGAAGAATTGGCACAAAACATCCCATAAAGTAGTCAAGTACTTCTAACACAGAAGTAGGACATTCATTTATGTTCCTATAATTTGAAAGTTGAAATTATGCTAAATGAGATTGTCTAGAATAAAGCCTTTTATCTTGCTTTTGTTGCCTATTTGCTACAATTCCTAAGGAAAAAATTACTGAAGTTTGATCAAGTCCTCTTAAGTGAGGAAAGGACAATAGTGAAGCATACTCATGTGCATGATGATATAGAAATTTTACTATTTAAATGGTGAAGTGGATTTACTGAAAGGAAATTCTTTCTTTCCTAACTAGAAGAAAAGAAGGGGTATTTTTTCTTAAGAAAATAAAAAAAATAATCTTGAAAGATTTCTCTTGTGCAAGAGTCTTGTAATGATAACAGCCTGTTATAAATATTATTTATATTTCTTAAACATTTTATATAAATAATTATATAGGCTATTATGCTGACTTTTTAACTCTTTTGGCTTTGTTATTTTAAGCCATATGTGGTATTGTTCAGAAATCACTCCTAATGGTTCTCAGAGGATGATACAATGGTTCTGGGGATCAAATTTGGGTCAGTCACCTGTAAGGCAAGCTCCTTACCTACTGTCATACCTCTCTGGGCCCTAACTTAATCAGTTTTAATATTAATGACATCATAAAGTAAGTAGTATAACTGACCCACACAATTGAATTTGTGGGGGTGTTAAAATTAGTGAGTGTGGGGTCCTTGGGAGAGGGAGGTGGGTACAATGGTGATTGGTATTGGTGTGTTGTTGGAATTATGCTCATGAGAAACAGTTATAACATTGTAAATCACAGTTCAATCCATAAAAATTTTTAAAGAAAACAAGTAACCTGTATTAATTACTATTTAAGTGTGATTTCTGACACTGGATTAGACTTTTTCACCTTCTTGTTATAAACAAAATTTCCATTGAAAAAAATTTCTATTTACTCATGCAAAATGTGGTGATTCTGCCAAAGAATGGTAGATTCAAGGACTCCATTTTTCCCAACGTTTATGAAATGATATAAAAGAAATTTTAAGGGGAAAAAATAGCAAGCATATTACTCAATTCGTTTGGATAAATTATAAAATTTTTTATTCAATCCAAACTTGAAAGGATGAGTAAAGGCTTGTCTTATTTACTTAAAAAAACCAAAAGGTACTATACCTTCCAGAATGCATTGGTGAGAGCAGCAGCATCTAGAAAGTTTTCCAATATTTCCTGTTGCTCAAATATAAGATGCCAAGAGAGAGCAGAAACCAAGAGATAGAGTTCTTTCTTCCTTCACTAGCCACAAAATTGGTTTTCTTTCTATTCAAATTCTCTAGTGCAACATTCCTCAGTGAACTGAACTCTTTAACTAAAAGAGCCAAAATTTCACTTAAATTTTTGAGGCTCCACCTGCTTAAAAACAAGAATCCTGACTGTCTGGCATCACAAAGATTCAGCCTGCCAGGAGAGAGCCAAAGCTTGATGTTCTGCCTTTGAAGATATGCATGCCAAAACAATATTCATTTTCATCAAAGCATGTTTAAATGTCTAGGCTCCAAACAGCTCTGAATTCAATATTTTCCCAACATTTTTCATGTAGGCTTTTAATGATTCTGGGAGACGAGTTTTTTTTCCATTTTGGGGTGATGGGAGTCCAGGCAATGCAGAGCTGGCTTTGGAAAGCCACATGATGGAAAGCACAGGTTTCTCCTAGATTGTAGACAGCTAGAGCAGATTAAACTTTTTTAACTCATTTAATGAAAGCTCTAATAATCTAGCTAAAATGTATTGAGATATATAACTTCTAAGTAGTTTTGCCAATATTTCAGTTAATTTGAGATAACCTCTCTCATTATAATATTTGATTATTGTAACAACCAACTACTGCTACTGTAATTCTATATAACACACCATTCCAAAATTCAATGTCAGATAACAAAGACTGTTTGAAATCAGTTTGCACATCTGAATACCAGCAGATGTCAGTTGGTCTGGCCCCGAGGTGTAGTATAGATCAGGTCTGTGTCACATATTTCATCCTTCTTGGTACCTGAGGCATATGACAGCTACCCCATAAAAAGCCATTTATGACAACTGCCCCAGACAGAGTCATTTACAGAGAAATGCAGGCATATAGGAGGGAAAACAAAATTACACAGTTTTATTGCCTCTCATTTTGCTATGGTCCATTGGTCCATTGTCCAAAACAGGTCACATGGTCATATAAAATAACACGAGACTGACACCCAAGGACAGTAGACACAAGGGCCAGGAATATTGCTCTATAGTTGGAAGGCTGCCTCATGAGATGGGGGTGAAGGCAACTGGGATAGAGAAGGGATCACTAAGTTAATGATGGTCAGAGGGATTGTTCAGGATGGGAGATGTGTGTTGAAAGGAGATAAAGGACCAAACTTGACAGCCTCTCATTATCTGTATAGCAAACTATAATTCCCCCCAAATAGAGAGAGTGAGAGTACGGGGGAAACTTCTGCCATAGAGGCAGGGGGAGGGCAGTGATGGGGTGGTGAATACTGGGGACATTGGTGGTAGAGAATGTGCATTGGTGGAGGGATTAGTGTTTGATCATTGTATGATTGAAATTCAATCATGAAAGCTTTGTAACTGTATCTCACCGTGATTCAATTTAAAAAAGTCACATGGTCATGGTCATGGTCAAGGGAACAGGAAGCAAGCTCTTTCCACTGTGGGAAATGGGTGAGAATATTTGTTGAACAATAATCTAACCTATCACAAACCCTCTGGCTTAGGTTAAATAATACTATAATTTCACTTAAAGTTTTTTAACTGAAGCATGTTTCATCACTGTCATCCTGTTGGTCATCGATTGCCTCAAGCAGGCCCCAGTAATGTCTCCTTCATCCTAGTCCTCTCACTGTCACTGTCCTCCCGTTGTTCATTGATTTGCCCGAGCGGGCCCAGTAATGTCTCCATTGGAGACTTTTGTTGTTACTGTGTTTGGCATATCGAATACATCACGGGTAGCTTGCCAGGCTCTGCCGTGCAGGCAAGATACTCTTGGTAGCTTGTGGGCTCTCCGAGAGGAGCAGAGGAATTGAACTCGGGCCGGCCATGTTGGCTGCATGCAAGGCAAGTGCCCTACCACTGTGCTATCGTTCTAGCCCCAGTCCTAGCTCTAAAATTTTAAAAAGTGCCACATTCGAGGATCTTTCAGGGTTAGAAGAATGAGACCCATCATTGTTACTGGTTTTTGGCATATTGAATATGCCACAGGGAGTTTGCCAGACTCTGCCATGTGGGCAGGATACTTTTGGTAGTCTGCCAGATTCTCCAGAATAAGACCTAGATAATAAGATGTTGCACAGTCGCAAATGCAGCCATGCTTTCGGGAGCAGAGTTTTATAGTCTCTGGGTCTTGGCCTTTGATGGGATTACATGGTGTTGGGGGCAGTTGGTGGGTGTAACGCCTGGAAGGTGGGGTATCTGGGTGGAGGAGGCCCCAGTTCCAATCCGAGCAGGCTTGGAGATCTACGCCCCGGGTCCTGCACACCTGGGTTCCTCTGCTGGTTCTTTCATGTGTGAGGTTCATCCGAACGTGTGGAGGGTGGTCTTAAGCATGGCTGTGGCTGGAACTGGAGGTCTTCGGCTGCTGGGGCTCTGCTTGGGATGGGGAGGGAAACTCAACCCACCTTCTTCCAAGGGGCCCTGGTGAGGACAGCCAAGAACAGAGACAGAAGACTCTGCGCTGTTCTCTTCCGGGAGCAGGGTTTTATAGTTTCCCCTCCTCACCCTGAGCAGAGTCCCAGCAGCTGAAGACCTCCAGTTCCAGCCACAGCCATGCTTAAGACCACTCTCCACATTTTCATAAGATTAATTACATTTCTCTATACTACCCTAAGCCCTCAAATAGCACAGTGGTAAGGCGTTTGCCTTGCACGTGGCCAGGCCTGACTGACCCAGGTTCAATTCTTCCGCCCTTCTCAAAGAGCCTGGCAAGCTACTGAGAGTATCTTGCCCGCACGGCAAAGCCTGGCAAGCTACCTGTGATGTATTTAATATGCCAAACACAGTAACAACAAGTCTCATAATGGAGACATTACTGGGCCCGCTCAAGCAAATTGATGAACAACGGGAGGACAGTGCATCCACAGTGCATACTATCCTCAAAATATCATCGTCTCATCAGTAAGAATATGCTCAGGTCAGATGATCTCCCACCTCAATATATCATGATGTTATATAACAGTGTGTGCATATTATTATTTCCTGTTTAAATGTTTATGTCTGGGAAGTGTATGTGTTTTTGTGTATAATATAATTTCCATTTATTTTTATGCATTTTGAATTATTTCAGACACCCAAAAGTTGAGTTATTTTTACATCATTTCTCATCTTTGCTTCATAAAATTTTTTATGTATTTCTTACTTACATATCTTTTGTAAATTTAATGTACTAAAATAGTCACAATAATATTGATTTTAATCAAGTGCCCATAAGTATTTTTATAAGTTAATCACTTAATCACTTAACTTCCCGTTAGTCGTCGATTTGCTCAAGCGGGCGCCAGTAACGTCTCCATTTGTCCCTGTCGCGTGCTAGTGTAGCCCAATGGCATCTGTTCGCTCCGGGAACATGAAGGGCCTCAAACCGATCGTTCATGATCTTCAGGAAGACGTCTGACCATCTGGTAGGTGGGCGGCCACGCGGTCTCTTGACATCCCGTGGAATCCAATCAGTAACAGCTCTAGTCCAACGGTCGTCTTTAAATCTCATTACGTGATCAGCCCATCTGATTTTCGACACCTTGGCAAATGAGACAGCGTCCCTGATCCTTGATCGTCGACGGATGTCA